GCTCTCCGCTGCAACTGTGCCGACAACAACGACTGCAGCTACTGCCAATGCTACTACAGCGGCTACTGCAGCTGCTGCTGCTCTGACTGCTAAACTGACTGGTCTCCCTCAAAATGTCCCTCATCTTCTTCAGAGTTTCCTCATCCAAGCTGCTGGAGTTGCGTCTCGAGGAGCGTGCCGAACATTGGACTGCCTCATCCTCAGTATGGCGTTTCTTTCTGCGCTCCTTTTTCGCGTCTTCATCGGAGCTCTCATGCGTGTGCTCCACCTGCATGTAGGTCTCGTCGAATGCCAAGGGTGTCTTTTCCTGGTAGAGGTTCTGAATGGCGGACAGCCGCTTGTCTACTGCTGAACTACTGAAGGCCGGAGCGTCCGTGCCATGTGAGTTCTCCTCTACCGTCTTTTTTCTCCTCTCTTCCTCACTGTCGCTGTCATCTCCAGCGGAACTGGAGGCTCCAACATTCTTGTCACGGTATGTATATTCGTGAAGGAGGTCTCTCAGTCTCTTTAGTGCTGTCTCATCGAGACCTGTTGTCCGGGCCTTCTTTTTGCTCTTTGGATGCTTCGAGGCCTCATGCCTGCAGGTTTTAGTTGTTCTGCCGTCGCCTTCCTTCTGCCCTTCATGATGCGGCCCGTGCTCCCGGCTGTGCGTCCTTCTGACATGTCTTTCATGAGATCTGTCATGGCTTGAATGTTGCGTGCCGGCGTACTTCGTGTGACAATTGCAGACGTGATAGCAACGTTCAGGGCATCGGCACCTCTGGGACTTGTCTGTGCTCGGCAGAACCACATCGAGTGCCCAGGGGGACACCAGAAGTACACGCCGATCCTCTTGGAGTCTCGGACAGCCCATAATTAACTTGCCATTGCGGTCCAGCTTTGCCGCCTCCAAATCCCCCTTCGCTCCACACGTGTGCTCATACGACAGGTCTGGGCACGACTTTTCCCGCCAAGTCAGGTTTTTTTGGGGACGAACTTTTGCACTCGCCTTGTCCTCCTTCTCTTTGTTGCATCCTCTGCAAAAAATGTTTTTTAGCTCATAATTCAAATCCGACTGCATGTTCTTGCACCATGTTGACCTCGATGGTGAGGATGGGCTTGACGTGTTAGACCTGATCCCATCTCGGCGCCCTCTCACACAGCTGTGATTGGAGCATTCACGCGAGCGTGACCCGTCATTTCCAGAGCACGTTGAGCAACCTCCACAGGGGCAGTCACCGCAAGCGCACACATCTACTTGAGCGGAATTTCGGTGATCGTTTTTATCGCTGGAGAGTTGTCGCCTTCTCCTGAGTGCGGTCTTATGTGGCGGCGTACACGGATGCGTGGTCGGCACTCGTTTTCTGGGATCGGCCGTTTCGCTGTCAGAGGAGCTCGAGGTTTCGGATCTGCTCCGGAGGAACTTGTCTGGGCTTGTCGATGCCTCATCCTCCTCCCGTTCGAAGATGCTTTCTATATCAGACTCCAGTGAATTTTCACCTGAAGGGTGGTCACATATGTTGCTGCCGTTTTTCCTTGCCTTGTCGAGAAGCCCTTTGGAAATACACCGCCTCTCCTCGCCGTCTTCAGAGGAAGAATAATCTTCACCGCTTTCGGGAGGCTCCAGTCTATTCAGAGCTTTCTGCAGAAATTCTAGTCGTTTCCGGGGAGGAATGTCGTCTAGATCCTCCAGACTTCTCTCTAAAGCCTTATCATGCTTCTTCGCCAGAAGTGATTTGATCCTTTTTTGGAGATCTTCTATCATTGCGGACTCTGTTGCCTGAGTAACCTCTCCGCTGGATGTCCCTTGACCAGATGGCAGCGTTTTCGGCTCGGCCTCGCCTGCTTTCTCGGGGTCCCCTGACTGTGGAGCTTTGTCCTCCGCAGTATAATCTCCCAGACCTACCCAGGAGAGGAGTTTGCACACCGTACCATGGACGTGGGGCGGTTGACTCTCTGACGATGTAGGAGTTTTGGTGTCTGGCGGAACGTCTTCCTTCCCGACCGGTTTGGACTCATGTGGAACCTCGTCTGCCGGCTCCGCGTCGCACCACATAGCGCCGGCGTTTCCCCTTTTTTTCGAACCCAACTTCTTCTCCTCCTCCTTTCCCTTCTCTCCTCTTTTTTCATAGCCTTCGACGTCAGAATGGACGGGGATTCGGGCTTTTGGACTTTTCTGGTCTTTCAGAAGCTTGTTCAGTTGCCGTAACTTCCGTCTCTGTTCACGGTCGAGTTGAAGCTTCGGACTGGCTTCCTTCTGCGCCATCGTCTCCTGCTCCTTCACGCGAGCATACTCCCTTTGGGCGGTCTGGTATGTCAACTTCGTGTTCTCGGGCATTTTTGATTGTTGTTTCCACTGTTATCTCTTGATGCTGGCCCCCTAAAGTTAGGTCTATCCTCTCAGATGGACTGTGTACGGCTTTTAAACGAGAAGGTGACAATCACGGGGTACCAGCTGTGCCACTGTTGTGCTGTTTGGGGGCTGTCTGATCAACGTGATTCGTTTGGAGGTGTGTGTGTGTGTGTTATCGCACTAGTCGTTTTCATTCTTCTCAAACGCACCCAACAGTCTCGTGCCCGATGCAGAAAGCAAGTGATTTCGCATCGTAGCCCATTTTACGGAGTACTTTTGCCTTAGAATGAACGCAATAACTCGTGTTCCAAAAGTACATAGGGAGCTTACCTTCAAAGCGTTTGCGCGCCTCACGTCAAACCGATGGACTATATTTGAAGAGCGGCAACAATCTGATTCTTATTCAATGTTTGTACCCCCATCTGACATACTTACGCTTGGGGGTCAGGTCCTTTTATCTATAAGAAGGCAGGACCGGGGTCGCTGAAGGGCTGACTATTGAATTCTTGGACTCTTGTTAGGATGGTTGCTTCTTACGTGGACGAAATTCCGTACAGTCTGTAAATCACGTCATCAGTAATTATTTTTCAATTTGATAGGTCATTTAAAATCTGAAGCTAAGGCAGCAGCTGGATTTCCGCAGTCGGCTCTCGTGATCCGTCCCAGAACGAGAGCTTTCTCTCCGAGTGAACTGTCCATTTTCAGTAGTATATAATACCAGCGATCATTACTTCTGAATGAGGCTGCCTGCTGTTTTGTCCTTTCATCTAGTCACCTTTCTTGCTCACGTGACACCGATAAAACTTCGGAATATGCAAAATAATGACGACAGGATTCGTTAGTGGCGCCGTCAAGGAATGCATGACGGTCTCCGATCTCAGATATGCAATGATTGCCGTTTCCTCTTCTGGAGCAATCCCTTACTTGCAAAAGACCTGACCGGACTGAACTTTAACCACTAAAAATCAACTTACTTTACAGTTAACCTAGCCGTCTTCGCTCTAGAGACACGACAGCTAGGATGGATGAAGTTGAACTATGGATGATTATGGATATCTGTACTTTCTAAGGGCCTCACTTATCGAGCAAAAACTCGTTGCTCTGACAACGAAACATGCTAACCTGAAGTGAATTATTAGTCAAAACAGATTTCCTAGAATGAGTGTCCTAGAGATTTCGTATATCAAAACATGTGTCAAAAGGACTTAGAAGCAAAAGAAACGGAGCTAGATAGTTCCTTTCAGACGCCTGAACCAAACATAACTAGTGCACACTTCCTTGCATTAAGCATTTGTCCGAACCAGTTGAAAGACATCCGCGGAAGCACCAAATATACGTGGCGCTCAAGTCGACGACTTTTCAACTAACGTGCATACTCCAAGAATACGTTTGGCTATTTAGATAAGGAAGAAGTCTACAAGATACGATGCGACAGCTTCGATGCCTTTTATTGTGGTCAAACTTAATGATCTGCGGTTACGTGCATATATGAAAATTAGTTGGCAGTAAAAAGACGAGACCACTTATCTCAAGTTCAGTTCAGTTTATTTGAGGGAAATATAGGTGTTAAACCTTTGAACTCCCTATTTGTTACAAGGAGGCGAACAATAAAAAAAAATGTGAAAATTGAAACATCAAACGGCTACAGAGTTTCTTCAGACTGGCAACGTTTT